AGTATTAGTAACCTGATGTGTCAGTAAAGCCAACAGTAGAAACTACAAAGAGCCAAATGTGCTTGATAGCCATTTTAGTACCTCAAACAACAGTAGACTGCAAAATGTATTTAGCTTTTCTAGCTGCATAATATTCTCAGGGTTTTGTTGTGGTTTTGTTTTTTTTTAATTAACTATTTTAGCCATTTTCTACCCTATTTGGGGAAAAAAAATGTATAGCTTTTCTTTCTAACCTGTAAGAAAATATATATAAATTTATGGCTGAAGAGAGAAGCCATACTCCACAAATGAAGTAAACTTCTTGGAAAGAGCAGCTTATCTGAAGAATTCTCTACATCACATCAGACACACTTGCATATGGAATAAAGCATAAGGTAGGTACCACACCTGCCCAGAACATCCACTGTATACAGAATGGATGCATGGAGAAAGGCTTAAGAAGAAAGTGTGAGAGACTGAAATGGTTAATGGCTTAAACATTGTTAAGATCACTGAAGCCTGCTCCCTTGCCTGAATATGTCTCCTGGATTTCAGGGAATTGGACTGTGAGTTAAGCCTCCTTATGGGAACTTGAGATAAGGGTGGTACTATTGTGCTCAGGTACTATCTCAGGTTTAAGGAGAAGTAAACAAGGCTGGGAGGAGACCATCCCTTTGACAGGACTGCCACCATCACTTCAACCAACAGGCATCAAAATTACAACTACCAAGTCTCATCCCTGGATCCAATGGGTGGTGACTACGTAACTTTCTAATTTTATCCTTTCCTATGGAGAAGCATAAACATCATGCACACCATAGCTGGAATGCATCTTAAAAGAAGCTTCAATACATACACCTTGCACATTCAATCACCATCAATCATCAATCTCTTGTGTACACTTAGAGAATTTGAACACTTGGGAAATAAGTTAACTTATTAATTATCCTAACTAAAATATAACTTGCTACAAACATCTAATAACGTTACTTAAGTTTGTCAGTGTACAGACAGAAGTATGCTTTGCATGACTACCTGTTAGAACTGTTCTGTAGGATCAGGCACCTCAGGTAATAACATCCCAGATAATCCAAAAAGAGATCTTCATAGAGATATTATGAGATTTTCATCTCTTAACTTTGGATGCCTTCAACATAAACATCTACATTTCAGCTGATCAGTGTAAGTTTCCTTTCTCACAGCCAAATGAGAGAAGCAGACAACTCAAGGGACAATTATCATAGTTATGTACAACAACATAGGTTAGACAAGAAATGACTTTTTCCTTCCCTTTGCTATCGTGGAAAATTAAAGCGAGTAAATCAGATCAAAACACCCATGTGTCTACTACAAACATCTAAAGAAGAAGAATCTCACCCTCTATCCCTTGTGTTGAAGTCTAACTGCACCTATCATTTCATGTTAGAAGTCAGCACCCACATTTGGATTTGGACTTAACACTTACACGTAATATTAAGAATTACATATAACTTGGTGTCTTTGTTTAATAAAACCACAAAACCATTGCACAACTATTCAGTGTATGGCTCCAGGATAGAAATATTTAAAGTTCTAAAAAATGAAAAACAGTATAAAGAAAGTAATGTGATATAAAAACATAATGCTAGAGAAGTTATGTATCAACAGTTACTGAATAACAGAGTTTTCCAAAACCTCACAGTACATCTTCCTTTTTCTATTTTCAAATCTATTTTCTTGTTTTTAATTTTCTTCTTCATATTTTTTGGAATTATCACTGTGGGGTTAGAAATGGGCAGTAAACCAAGATGTGCTTTCCATTTCTGGTCCTCTGTCTTTGAAACAGCTATCATAAAGGAGGATCACGGTGAGGAGCTCAACATTTCAAAAATGATCCATCTTCCACAATATCACTGTGAAATCTTAGTATCTTACAATTTTATGTGGTCTGCAGTAGGAATCCAATTGGGGATCAGAAGATTTCTATTCCATAGGGCAATAAGGTTCAGTTACTGTATTCTTATAAACTGTATTTATGAAGCTTGAAAGGTTACTATTAGAGATAAAACTGATCCAACATCTGTAAAAATTAAGGGATCCAATTGAGTTTATATTAATATGCTTTTGCCTAGAAGTCAGCATCCTGATGTCAGCAAAGTGCTGAAGTAGGAGCTTTACTTTAAGCACATAATGAAGTACTTGAATAAATTAAAGCAAACTACTAACTGGCCTGAGCGCTTACAACCATAACATTCATTTTAACTGAGTGGAACATCAGGATAATGATACTGTTTTATATATTCCTTACCTAATTTTCTATATTAACATGTGGGAATATCATATACAACATTATATTATTCATACATTTGACATTAATTTTTCGTATTGTAAGATTAATGGATATAGCCAATTAGAGAATATAAAAATATTCATAATAATCTCTGTACTTTTCTGTTGTAGTTTATTCGATACACTCTCATATAGTCAACCTGATTTTTTAATCTGTAAAGCTAGGGAGATAGGAAATCTTTTGAAATTGTGGGTCATAGACAGATAAAGTCGCCCAAGAAGACTCAAACTCTCTAAAATCAGTCAGAATTCTAAAGTAAAAAATTTTCAATATTTATCAAAGGATGTATCCACAAACCCACAAGGGGCGGAGCTGAGCACACTTCCCATTGAAGAAATGGTTGAATATAAAGTTGCATATTCTGGAATGTATACATTTGACAAACTATTTGGACCTTAGCTCAAGCCTTAAGGAGGAAGTTAAAATGAAAATGTTGAGCTATCTAGATGACTCATTTCAAAAAATTAAAAGGGATTTTGTTTTCAGTCCAAGTCAGTGTTGAAAAGCATCTTCAACTTTAAAAAAATAATTATTACTATAACATAAATACATAGAAATTTGCTTGGATGAATAAGCTATTTTTTCAATTTCTGTTTTCACCAAATGCTCAAAAGTCAATTGCAAGCTAACCTGAATACATGCCTCAGATGATTTCTTTATTTCTCCCATCTGCCAACACCAACAAAAAACCAAACAAACAATAAAGCAAAACAAACCCCACATATTTGCACACCTCTAATCAGAATTAAAATTCAGAGTCTCTAATTTGACTGTTTTCAATGGAACACATGAAACACCTTTGCAATTAACAGCAGCGTTGCTTAAGCAACAAACCACAATTAGGATACTTGTCAGCTAATGAAGTATTATCTTTTCTAATTTAAGTATTTAAGAAGCATTTTTTTTAAAGCTGTCATTTTGTGTATTTCGAACTGATACTGTATCATTAGATTTGATTACAAAACAAGGAAAAAAATACTTTAACCCTTTTTAGAATTGTACCTACCAAAAATAATGCTGCACAAAGTCAGAAACATTTAGAAGCAGGTCTGTAAATCAGGCCATCAGAAATACCAGAGTTTGGAATCCAATTGTGATACATTTCCATATTATATTATCACATACAGAATGTATAAGGGTTTTTAAATTAACACAATACACCTATTTGGACTAAATGCAAGAATGCATGAAATTTAAAAACACTGACTTCACAGCAAGCTAAGCAAACCAGAACTTCAGTTACTTTCCCTACACAAACTGCAGCTTTTCAAAGTCCTACAAAGTGTCAGCTACAGACAGACACACAGCTCCTAAGGCTTCACCAAATACAAAAGCAATACTTAAAATAATTACAGTATGGCAAGGTTAAGTACCATAGTAATCAAGTCAGCAAAGTGCAATGTTCAGTGTAAGCTTGACATCACTGTGGAGCACTGAAAGGTTCTGTGCTGCCACTGGCAAAACCAGAAAGGATGACTAATTCTGTTACACAGGTGAGATTTAATAATGTTAAAAACTAACAACTTCTTTAAACTTAAAAACCAATTATTGTTTCTAATTACACTTCCCTATTCTTACATTTGTTAAAAGTCTGTTGACTTTTGGTTGCCATCAATGTCTTGTATGCTAACAGTGACTTAAAATAAGACACAGTTCTTTGTCTAATTCTTTCAAAATTTGCCTTTCTTTTCAGAATATGATTCAAACATAGTAGAAATCAGTGTTGGAAATTATACATTCCCTGCCAGTAGTCTGAACTTACTACCATATCATACCCTAGAGAGAAAAATAATAAAATTCTTGAGCAACACTTAAGACATTTGTTAAACTGGACCACTGCTGAATATATCTACGACGAATGTTTTCTGTATGTATCAATAAATTTATTGGCCACCAAATAAAAACTTGCATGCTTTCTTTTTATTGATCGTTTTAGGATAGTGTGCAATCAACCCGTAATCCCAAGTGAGGCTGAACACTTTGCATAAAATACATACCCACAACATAAAAATACATGAAAAATCTATAAAACCTATTTATTTCATACCTCTCTTCTTCAAATGTTAAAGCAACATTCACTTTCTCTTTTCCTCTCTTTTTTAAAACTCTATAGTTTACTGAAAAAACTTAACCTAAATATAAATTTTACCACAAGTTCTATTCTGCTCCTTACCTCCTACTCATTGCAACAAACTAAATACAATATTATGTGTTGGATAACTTTTGCATAATGAAAGTTAATATTATGATTTGAAACATGAAATTTAGTTACAAAATAAAATGAAGCAATGATCTTTCCAGTTTTACATGAGCAAGAGACAGAAATAATTTGTTCAGGTGGATCCCCAAGTTGTACTGCCTGCATAATCAACAATTTACACATTACACTAAGTGTTCTAACTAATTATTTCAAGTGTTTTTCCAATTATATAGCATAATCTTAAAATCTATTGAGTCAATTTATTACACAGTCTGATAATTTCACTTTTCCATAGGGAAATTTTCTTTTACTTTATACCTCCTTTTTTTTTGAATTTCCTGTTTAAGTTAGGTCCTAGCATTTTCTGGGTTCTTGAACCTGCATATTCTATAGGCTAATGCATTTATAACGTTTTATGAAACAAACAGATACAGCCAAAACACTCCCCAACACCACTCTTCAGCCCTTCTCCAAAAGAAAAGACGACAGTACCTGGTGGGCCTGCAACAGCTGCTCAGCAAACTGACGTACTTCTGATAGTAGAAGTGATATTAAAGAATTTCTTAATGTGTTGTTCCTTCCTAGCAAAATCAGTGTTTCTGATACAGAATGCAGTGCCTGAAACTAAAGAGAAATAACAGTAAATTTAATCTTTCAGAATAATTCTCCGTCTTTTTTAGTGCAATTACGCTAAATACAAATGCGATTTACATCTTCAAATTTTAAAGAAAAAATCAAATTCAAAAATTTCAACTGTTTAAAAATCTATTAGTTACATACATATGAGATCTATGACAAACTGACATCTGTTGTCAAAAGATTAATGCTACAGGAAACTCTCATATGAACAAACTCCTCCAAAAGTGTGAATTCCCCAGGACACACCTTTTCAGCATTAGACATCATCAAGCCCATCTGCTGACAAAGAAAGTTGATGACTGCTCTGCACATACAGTACTTCTGTTTGTCACAGGTAGACAAATGAACAAATTCTTTGAAATTCAAACACTTATGCTAAGACATGTACTGTGGTTTTCTGTCAACAGAGTTATGAGGAATAAACCTAATTAAATGCTAACTGCTGGAAGACACACTATATTTTCAAATTCAAACAATTAATTTTCATATTGTTTTTTAACAATGCATTTCTCCTGAACCACAGGAATGATGTGAATTTACATGACAATTTTATTAGGTTTTGGGGTTTTTTTGCCACTGTCTTTTCTATTAAGAAAGTTGTTTCCTTTGTTCTCTGAAATTAATAGATATTATGTAACGAAACTTACTGCTCTACAAAGTGTACATGACATCCTTTTGTAAAACACTACTGGAAGAAACTGTCATTTCTATATATAAAAGTTCTTTCAAAGAAAAAAAGACACATTAAATACAATTACTATAAATTCCATTTTCATATAAATGCATACCCTTACAAAATTAATATTCAATAACTCTTTGAGTATTTTTGACTGATAAAAGGATATTCTGACCAAATATTTTATGTCTAAGAATAACTGTCATGTCTTAACCACTCAACATCAGACCACTGCATCCTGTTAACGATGTAGATTATACCTCTAGCCAGTTCACCTGTGTATACACACATGGACATGCATATATATGAATAAAAATACTTGTCCACCATTTACAAGCTTGCATGGGATGAATCCTCGTGGAAAACATTTCCAAACACATGAAAAGTAGGAAAGTGATCCAGGTAGCAGTCAGCATGAATTTATTAACATTTACCTTAATTTTACCATGGTTTTCAACACTGTCTCCCGTAAAATTGTAACTGACAAAATTTTGGGCTACATAAGTGAACACTGAAGTGGACTGAAAACTTTTGCTGTAAAACCAGTTAATTAGGCAGGTTTGCATCTACATTTACTGTTTTCCTGCCTGATGCAATGCGTTTTTACTGGCCTCTTGCAGCTGAAGAGTAGGACCAGCTTGGTTATCATCCACTCAACATGAGACAGCCATAATAATCAATCTTCAATAAATCTTTTCTCTGAATCATCTCACTTCTCCATGTAATCCCTAAAGAAATATCAAAAGAAAACTACAGAAGACAAACAAGTCTCATGTTCAGAATCAAATCTGCAGTTAGAGATACAAAGTAAAGAGATTAAATTTACGAATTGAAGAGATTTCATAAATTGTACGCATATAGCTTTGAAAACTCGTGAGATTAAAATCACCATAAACATATACACGAAATACCCCATAAGGATGAAATGTGAAATAAGGTGAGATAAAAATAGATTTCTGAACAATTATAATGATATTAAAGGATAATGTTATCCTTGCACCTACATGCTCCTTGAAGATATATGAATTAAAATCAGACTTTTACTTTTCTTATATAAATTAGGTAGGGATACATATTTTACACTTCTACATTTTCAGCATACAAGTATACTTGCTAATTTGCCTTTGGCAAGCAATTAAACTAGACAATCCAGAGTAGTTTTTCAATGCTACCTCTCCCAAAGATCACAGTAACAGTATATATTTACACAAAAACATCATAATTTTTGTTCTTTTTTAAGCTCTCTTGTATTTGCTTACATGTTTTTTTGCCAGATAGTGAAACAATTAATTTTTTTTTTTGGTGCAGTTACTAATGTTAGCAGCTGAGATTTAAATAAAATAGGATCTTTCACAAAATTTCCATATCCTTTCTAGTTTGGCAAAAGTTGCCATTTTCTAGTTGGAATTTTTTTAGGACTAGATAACAGGGGATCTTCAAATTTAAAGCCTGAGCCTCTACTAAGAGAAGCAAATACGTATTTTGTAAGGATGCCACTTAGAGCACTTGAGATTAGGATATCAATGTCACTGAAAAATCCCACCTGTGAAATTATTAAGATTTAATAAATATTCTTTTTAAATATATACTTATTATACAAATATTTTAAAGTAATATAGCAAATGTACTATAATTATATTTAATATTTTTAACAATTTTTAAAATAATGCTGATTTATTAAAGACTATGGATTTTACATTGTATCTTGGTGGATCTCAGTATATTTTAAGAAAATAAGAGACAAGAAAGAAGGTTAAAAAATGCTCACAGTCTGTATGCCTTAAATTAATATAGAACAAATTTATAGCATATAAGCAATAAATCTGTAAATAGCAAACAGAGGTAAGACTGCTGGAGAGCAATGCTCATGTATTGCTAATTAAACTCTGGAAACATTCAAACTGAAAATACTTCAAATAGTGTGCAGTTTCATTAAAGATAAAAGTGTATCTTCAGCTCTCCAATCTACCCAATGTTAAAAAAGAACAAAAATCTTTTAATCCCTTGGACTTGCTTAATGGTGTAGATGAAACAAAACCTACGTGCTTCAGAGATTCTCAGGTAAAAGCAGTTAGAAAATTAGATTGTAAAAAATATACTATTAGAAACAAGAAAATAATGAAGCCTGGTTCACCGTTCAGGCGCTGCATCATTTGTCCCTAACTCTCCTCCCACACTGCCATTTCTGCTGTCTTCCCATGCTTTCAGGATGCAGAGCAAGACAGAGCAATGCTGTGACAGTAACTGGGAAGGATGTGTGGATTGTCGACCCGGCTGTTGCCAAAAAGAATATATAATGTCAATGTTCTGCTTACCTCAAGCATACTAACTTGATATCTCCTCTAGCCAGCTACTGATTTTAAAGCCTACTTGAAGGTATTACTGACCTTCCACTTTTTTGCAAGTGATTTCAAAAGTAGCTATCAAAAGTTACTAGTACAGGGAAAGACAGATGAGGAAAACAGACAGCACACTCCTATGAGCCCTCTTTCACAGGAAACAGGATAAAAAAACCCACTTATGAATTATTCTTTTATTATTCATTTATCAGTGTGTTAGACTTTTCTTTAATAATGGATATCCAAAATTTGTGAGTTTAATTCTTTCATGAGTTGCACGATTCACTACACCTTGCAACTATGATAACCGCACCTCAGTTTCTGTTTCGCTAATTTACTGGTTTTGTGCCAAGTAACAGCTTTCTTCCCCAAGTGACTGGCGTATCTGGCAATATAAGACTAAGGCAAATAATTATTACGGGTATCCTCAAATTGTGAGGTGTTAAAAACAAAACAATACTTTTGCCTTTGATTTCCTATCACCCTTGCCCTTTGCCCATTTAGTCCAACCTGACTTCCATTCGTAATCATCAGTACCAATTGAAAAGCTTCACTTCTATATAGAGAACTTTAGCACCTCTTATCTTACTGTCACATTGCTTCCTTTGTAAATTGATGCTTGTCATTTATCTCTCCTCCTGTTCATGTGCCACTATTTCTCCTATCTTCCTGTCTTGGGATTTGATACGTATTACTTCAACTCTTTGCTCCGTAAGCCTCATCTTAAGCCCTTGCTCTGCCCTTATCTCTTCAAAGAATCATAGAGTGTTAAGGGTTGGAAGGGACCTTAAAGATAATTTAGTACCAACCTCCCACTAGACCAGGTTGTTCAAGGCCTTATCCAGCCTGGCATTCAACACTGCCAGGGTTGGGGCATCCACAACCTCCCTGGACAACCTGTCCCAGTATCTCACCACACTCACAGTATAGAATTTTTTCCTAATACCTAGCCTAAATATCCCCTCTTTCATAATCTCGTTCATGCTTTTCTCCACTCTTCCAAACCTGATGTTCTCTGCTAGGACCATCAGTTGGCTTCACTGCTGCAAGCTGTCAGTATCAGGTTTGTGCCCCGTGGGCAAGCTGTGGGGTGAGAGCCAAAGGTTAGAGTTACAGGGTGCTAAGGACGGTCCTCTGCTGCTGACTCTGAAATGTGCTGGCTACACCGAAACATGAACTCTTCAGGAGATGAGTCAGGGACTCCTGAGGTAATAGAAACCAACTTACTGACTTAAGTACAGCCTTGCTGAATTTGTGGAATGAGAAGGGAAGATCTCCAACGAAGTGCACCACACAAACTCCTCAAAGTCATCATTAGTGACCATGAAGTTTTTACGTCAGACCGGGAAAGTAAAGGTGCAATTTCTTCTACTTACAGACTGGAAATATCTTTCTTAAATTTATTTCTTCATGGCTGCCTAAAAGTCACTCTCCAAGTCACTGATCAGCTCCAACCCAGTATCACTTCCCTAGTGAAACAGGCAATAATTAGTGCATCTGCTTGCTCCTGTCCACAGGCTAAACTAAGCCAAGTCGGCTGCTGCTGCCACATCGGCAAGGGGGAGTGGTGAGAGACCACAGAAACTGCTGTGAAGCACAGATGCACTTGCAGAAACCTTCTTTTTCCTTTCTTTACTGTTTCTTAACACCACAAAGGCCACCAACAGAAGCAAATTTCCCAGACTATTTCCTAGGTGTTTACCCTCCCTCCTAGCACAAGGGAAAGCTGCTACTGTTGACATAAGGATGACAGACTTGGACAAGATCCAGCACACCTGCAGAGACTGGACTACCCTCGAGTAATATGCCCTCTGATTGACTGACATCCACAAATCTTTTCCCTCCTCTTCCTGTTAAGTATAAATGCTCAGTATAGAGCACAACTTGCTGCTACTTCTCTAGCTGTTTCTTTATCCAATAACAAAATGAAAAACATTAAAGAACATCTTTTACAGTTTCATTAATATTTT